ATATATGCCCAAAATGCCGGGCATTTATGCCTAGGCATATGCCCAGTGGGCATAATGCCTAGTAGGCATTTTCAACCGTACTACTGACTATACACTGTACTGCAAACTTACAGTACTGTTACATTATTCATTGTCTATTTAGGCCCTTAACTCTCACAACTCTGTTGAGTAATACTAATAAAAGGTGCAATCATGCAATCAACACATATTATTACAAATTCATTATCATTTTCATTACTTGTAATTCATGTAATTTACTGTTATGTCATATTATATCACTTATTATATAATATGAGATTACCATAGGTAGGCAACATTAAATTGTGGTAATTGTTAGAATATACCCATACTTGTCATAAGCACATCACAGCTTACGTTAATTTCAATAAAAACTAATTTATTGCTCAAATATATTTATTTACAGTTAACTACTGTTTATAGTTTAATCAAATCATTAATATATAGGATTATTAAGGACTAAGGATAGGCAAAATCAGATATTATACTAATTACTGGATTTGAAACAAAATAATTAGTAATGAGAATAATTGGCAAATAGAGAGCATTGTATGCATTAATAATGATTTAAAGAGCTTTTGCCACCCGAAGCCTCTCCTCGACGTCCTTCCAGTGGACGACATTCCAGATGGCCTTCACGTAATCGGGTCTCACATTCTTGTACTGAAGATAGTATGCGTGTTCCCACACATCTATGCCCAACAGTGGCACCAGTCCTGTAGTGGCGAACAACGGGTCCTGATTAACACAGGAGGCGATCCGCAGTTTCTGAGTCTTGGGACAGTAGCCGAGCCACGCCCAGCCCGACCCCTGCACTCCCGCCGCCACAACACTCATCTCGCTCTTCATCTTCTCAAATGTGGTGAAAGAGCCCTTAATCTCCACGAGAAGATCGCCCTCCGGTTCTCCGCCGCCTTTGGGCGACAGGTTTTGCCAGAAGATGGAGTGATTGATGTGTCCGCCGCCGTTGAACCGCAACACTGGCTCCAACGCTATCTGCGCCGACACGTCCTCTGCAACACAATCAGTCAACACATGTCAACATCGATGGCATACGTACTGCTATTGATGGCTGCGTGCAGTTTCTCTTGAGCCACATTCAAGTTGTTGACATACGTCTGGTGATGCTTCTGGTGATGCAATTGCATTATCTCTGCGCTGATGACCGGTTCCAACGCATTGTAATCATAGGGCAGATCCGGTAACGTGTGTTTCCCGCGACACCAATCCCTCACTCCTACCATTCCTCCACTTCTGGCCAAAACACCGCTTTTCATACACCAGACAATCAGTTCATTATATCGTTTACATATTCATTACAAATGCATTTCATTACCATTTCCTCACATTTGAAGACAATTGTCTCAAAGCGTTAAAACAACTCATATTTGCAATCAATTTAATCATTAATTCATATAAAAGTCGTCAATAAAGTGAAAGTCAGTGACTATTCATCACTAATACATAGAACCCCTTCTCGCTAAGCATTTTCTTCACTGCATAACACTATTATACATGTGTTTTAACATCAAATGCTTTACAAATAACTGCAATATTTAAGTGGAAATCAATACACAATTAGTATTATTCAATATATTTTAATAATAAAAGTATTGATATTTTAAATATTAGTAAATAATTGAATGAATGATAAAACATGTATTTTACAGATTATACACAATTACACATAAACTTAACCAAAGGGGGCAAAGGGTGGCCAAAGTGTGGCCTAAATATAGGCAAAGCGTTACTTATGGGCACATATTATAGGCGCCGCTAAAGACATGATGAGTGGCCTTAGATTTGGCACTTTTATTGGTGTGTCTATTGTGTTGTGTTTAGGGATTGCTGTCTAATAAAGGACTCAATGTTGGGCTGTATTTGAGGGCAAGTGTTGACAGAGAGTGAGAGAGAGGGAGAGAGAGTGAGAGTGAATCAAGTGCTGAGAGTTTGCACTAAATATGGAGTTTTGAAAACAAAAACAGATTTCATA